CTGGTTATGGGTCTGTTCAAGCTTTCTATTTCCTCCTGATTGAGTTTTGGAAGCGTGTGGGTGTTTAGGAATTTGTCCATTTCTTCCAGGTTGTCCAGTTTGTTGGCATATAATTTTTCATAGTATTCCCTGATAATTGCTTGTATCTCTGAGAGATTGGTTGTAATAATTCCATTTTCATTCATGATTTTATCTATTTGGGTCATCTCCCTTTTCTTTTTGAGAAGCCTGGCTAGAGGTTTGTCAATTTTGTTTATTTTTTCAAAAAACCAACTCTTGGTTTCATTGATCTGCTCTACAGTGTTTTTAGATTCTATACTGTTTATTTCTGCTCTGATCTTTATTATTTCTCTTCTTCTGCTGGATTTAGGCTGAGAAGACACTTCGTTTAAACACACATTAAGTAAGAGATATTGTCTCAGGTAAGTTTAAATGCATTTTGTTTTTAGGCAACCTATATGATATGTTTTTTTCTTTAAGAAAAATGACCCACTCCAAATAAATCAACATCAAAATAAATGAAGAGATCAAGATGACATCACCCAATTGTTTAAGTCCTGGTGTTGTGTGGATGGGTGAAAAGCAGCAGCCAGTTATGATGATGGATGATGGATCCAAAGTAATTGCCATTTTGTTAACATTTTTTCATTTCTAAACCATCTTTAAAGAAAATCATATATGGGGTCACATCATCCTCACGGTAGCCCAGCAGAGCAATCTTGCCATCTGGATTCATGTTTTCACCAATAAGAAACCAGTAGTTTTTGAAATTAGCAAAGATGTGTTTGATTTGTCTGCAGCCTCTGTTATAAAAGGTTTTACACTTTCCAGTCTCTGTTCTTCAAGTTTGCCTTACACTGATTTCCTATTATCTACGATGTATTTTTTGTAGGCTTTGTTTGTGAAGCTTCTTTTCTGCTAAGTAATGGTTCCTGACAATATCAATGTCAACAATTACTGTGTTTTCAGGACCTTCACCTTGGGGGCCTTCAGCAGAGTACATTTCCATCAATGATACCTTCTGTCCTACTGACCATCTTCCCCTTCACCTCCAGGCACAGCCCATTTGCAACCTCCTGAATCCTGTAGATGTCAGAGAATATGTTGTCATGGCTGATGAGGTCTGGGTAGATAATCATGATGGTGAGCAGAGAAAGAGGACAGCATCCCTGGCTTAGCAGGAACCCAGAGCTCAGAAAAAGAGCAGTGCAGCTGGAGCAGCACTCAAGGGGAGGGGGCTGGTGGAAAAAGCAATATCAAATTTTGTAAATGCTTTTGCTGTATCCATTTCAATAGCCATATAATTTGTCTCCTTTATCCTATTAATATGGTGAATGACCTTGATTGATCTTTAAATGTTAACCTTACATTTCTGGGATAAACCTACTTGGTCATCATTTGTATAACTGTACATATTATATACCTCATTTGCATATTTTATATATTATTGGGATTGATCTGATAATATTTAATTAAGGATTTTTGTGTCTATGTTCATGGGTGATGTGGTTCATTCATTTCTTTGAAATACCTGTCAGTGTTAAGCTGGCTTTGTTGCTAAAAAAAATTTGGTATATGATTTATTATTTTGTCCTTATATGTTTGCTAGAATTCTGCAGCAAAATATTCTGTGCATGGAGTTTTCTTTATCTCAAAGTTCCTAATTATAAATTGTTTGTTTAATATATTTAGGGCAATTCAATTTTTCTATTGCTTCTTGTATCAGATTTGTTAAGTTCTGCTTTCCAATAAACATGTTCATTTTATCTAAGTTATCAAATCCATTAGTGAAAGTGGATAATAATATTCTCTCATTTTTCTTTTAATATCTATAGGATCTGTAGTTATATCCCTCTTTCATCACTCTTGTCAGTAATTTATGCTTTTCTTTCCTTTTGTTCTTCACTTTTGTTCTTCAATTTTATCCTAGGATTCTGCCAATTTTAATACTCTTTTCAAAGGATCAATTTATTAACTTTATTAATTTTGTTTTGTTTTATATCTAATTTATTTCTGCTCTTATCTTTTCATTTCTTATTTGTCTTTTTTACTTACTTTGGATTTAATTTGCTCTTATTTTCAAGCTCCTATAGGTGCACACTTAGATAACTGATGTTATATCTTTCTCCTTTTCTATTAAATGGCTAAAGTTATTAAGTTCCCCCTAAGCACCAGTTTATTTGCATCCCACAAAATTTGATACGTTACCATCAGTTTGAAATATTTTTAAATTTCTCTTTTGTTTTTTTCTTTGACCCATGGATTATGTAGAACTGTGTGGTTTAATTTCCAGATACTTAGGAGAGTGTTCTTCCTAATTTTTATTAATCTATTCATAAGGTAATGGTCGGAGAACATACTCTTTTAAGATTTTAGCCTTTTAAACTTTAATATGACTTAGTTTTTTACTCTGCATATGATCCACCTTGGTAAGCACACCACATGCACTTGTGCTCTGTTTCCAATCCACCTACATGTGGGTTGCACTTCAATTCTTACACTAACTAGTTTACCCAGAACTAAGGTCAGACTCCCTACATTTACAGAATCAGTCCTCCACAAAACTGTCCTTACTTCAGATGTTAGCCACAAGTCTCAGGATGCCTGCACTTCTGACTAACAAGCTATAAATTTAGGGGTTTCCATAACCCCCTCGGGTTCAATAATTGGCTAGCACTCACTTAAAACACTATACTTGGGATTACAGTTTTATTATAAAAGATACAACTCAGAAGCAGCCAAATGAAAGAGGTACCCAGACTGGAAGAGTCCTGGATAAGGAGCTTCCATGCCCTGTCCCCATGGAGTCAGGCTACAAGTGCCTAATACATCAACGCTTTCACCAACCTGGAAGCTCTTCAAGTATACTTTTAATATCTGTTATTAGGAACATACACATTTATGATTAGTGTGTCTTCCTAATTACTTGAGCCTCTTCTCATTATGAAATGTCTCTCATTATCTGTCAAAAGACTCCTTGATTTAAAGGTTATTCTCTCTAATATTATGAAGTCTTACCAGTTTTTTTATACTTACTGCATTCACGGTAATCTCTCTTTCCACTGTCTTATTTTCAATCGATTTCTTTACATTCAGAGTACTTCTCCTGTGGTCAACTATACATGTCTTTGTTTTTATCCAACAATCTCTGCCTTTTGACTAGGGTGTTTAAACCACTTACATTTAATATAGTTATTGATATAATTGGGTTAGATTTATTATTTTCTACTTGCTTTCTGTTTGGCCCACATATTTTTGTTCCTCTGTCTCTTTTTTGCTGCCTTCTTTAATTAACTGACCACTGTTTAGTCTTTCATTTCACTGCAATTGATTTTTAGCTATATCTCTTTATCTCTTTTTTGGTAGTTACTCTAAGGATTATTAAATGCATCCTTAACTTATCACATTCTACATAGAGTTAATATTGTACCACTTTATATTTATATAAAATGTAAACAAAAATGACAGTTTAACTTTATTTACTCTCAGTCTTTTGTGCTATTGTTTTCATATATTTTACACCTGGAATTTTATAAACTCCATGATTCAATGTGCTTATATGTTTATTAATTTTCAACGTGTTTAGGTTATATTAGGTTTCCATTTTTTCCATTTCATTTTCATGCTTTAAACCACAGGGTGTAGATTTTAAATTGCTGCAAATTCTATGAGATCTGGCATAATAGAACAAGGAAAGATAAAGCAGTGAAGTAAAGAGAAACTGACAAGGTATTTGATCTCACTTGGAGGCTTTTTCTCTGACAAAAAAAGTTGCTATGAGGATTAAATGCATTACAGCTTATGCGGAAGTTGAAGCTCAGTAAGTGTCACTTTCTCTTTCCTTTAAAAAATTGAAATTTCAGGCTAAGATATTTGTAATTAACATCAGTATATGCTGTGCATTGTGAACCAAATAATGAGAAGCAAATGAATTATAGAAAAGCCAAGTAAGAACTCAAGGAAAACATTAACTTCCATTTATTCCAAGCTGCATGGTAAAAATTATTTGAGTACAATAAAAATAATTACCCAAATGCCCTTACCTTAATAGAATTGGTATTTTGCAGTTCTATTAACATGTCAATAAGTAATTCTGCTCCCAAATAGAATGGCAAAACACAGGTACAGAGGAAACCATCCTGGCTAACAGGAAATGTTTTATACAGATCCACTGCTTGTTTAAGAAGTATCTGTAGCTCCTGAGTAAAGTTCCAAAAGGTCCTACAGCTATTCTGAAGCAGAGTCCAATAGCCTCCACGATGAGCAAGAACCTAAGACAAACACAACATTCAAAAGATCCCAAAGTTTCAAAAGTTAGAGATCTCTGAACAACTTCATCTTTCTGCAAAAATAATGTCAATAATAAAAATAACACCATTTATTATGTGTCATTTACATCATTATCTCAGTTAATTCTATCAATAGCTCCTATGAAATAAGTATATACTAGTATTCTACTTAATTTAGAGATAAGGAAACAGAGGCATGGAGCTAACTTGACCAAGGTCACAATCTGCTAAGTGGTCAGCTAGGATTTGCACACCAGGAGTCTGACTCCAATATTCCCATTGTTCTGGGCTCTGGGAATGTGGCAGTGAGCAAGAGGAACTGGGTCTGCCCTTGTGCTACTTCAGTTTCTTAGGGGAGACTGAGACTAGATAAGTAGACAAAAATGTAATTTCAGGGAATAATAAGTATTGTAAAGAAAAATAATGCAGAAATGGGTCAGAATTTGACAAGCATGGGAGGATATGTCCTTTTAGATGGAGTGGTCAGGTTTGCTTAAGGAGGTGACATGAGCAGAGACTTGAATGTTGAGTTGAACAAATCATGTGAAAGTGAGAGTAGGGGTGTTGGGAGGAGGAGAACATTTGAAACCAAGGGAGCAGCAAGTGCAAAGGATGGAGGATGAACCTGAGGGATGAGGAAGGGTCAAGCAAGCTCAATGCTGTCAAGATCACAAAGAGGAGACTGGACTGAACAAGCGCAAGATGAACTGAGTTCCAAGAAGAGAGCAGGACCCAGACCTTCCAGGACCCTGAAGCTGGTGGAAAGGATAAGATGCAATGCTTGTGGTCAAGGGGGTTGATGTGGGCTTACTTCACATTTTTTAAGAAATCACCCTCTCCACAGACAAAATGGGAACTCAAGTATTCCAGAAAGGATAGATTTCCCCTCAATTCTTGAGAGGTTGGAAGCATATGCTATTACTGCTATGAGAAAAAGAAAACTAACTTCTTTATGGCTAATGATTCCAATTCTGAATTTAATAATGCATCATTTAATATTTAAGAAAAAAAAGAGAAAAGTATTTGAGAGAAGACACAATTGGCCTGTAGAAGTGGGGCATCAGGGCCAAGAGTAGGCCTTTCCTGTAGCCTAGAAAGAGTGTTTCCTGTGCTAGAGAGAATAAAGGGGTCTATGGTGTTCTAGGTGGCAGCAAGACTCCAGAGAGGAACAACTGGTGTCACCAGAGGCCATGTACCAAATATGGCAAGAAAGTGGCACAGGAATATCTGAATATTCATGGAGATTATGTAGACAAGGACAAAGGCTATCTCAGCTCTGAACCAATGGATAACTGATGACTAAAGCAGCTCACCCCTGTCACTGACAACTTGACAACGTGTAAATCCTCAGCACTATGGCAGGCAAACCTCAAAAATGACTGACATGAAATTCAGCAAATTTGGTCTCAAAGTTGAAACTAAAATTATGGATAGTAAGTAAACTAATACAATATATCTTACATGCCCAAACTGATGCCCTGAGATTCATGTCTATTACATTAGCAAATTAGAAAGACCACCTTACCATTGCTCTCCTGCAATATAAAAAGATTTTCATAAAATGATCCAATAGACCCAAATTTGCTGCTCGATCCTTTTCTTTAGTACTAAGACCTGACTGAGAGTCTGAGTCATAAACTGTTTGTGTCTTTGACACATTTTCACCACTCATTCTGGAATTAATAAATGTGGAAAATTCTTCAGCATCTACAATACAAAAATAAAGTATAACATTATTGAAAACAGAAAGTTCCAAAAGACATAGGTGATAAACATCAAATCAGTAATTAAGGTAAGAAATGCTATATAAATTTGGAGAAAGCACAAGATTATCATGGACACAGTGAACCAAGAAAAGTTTCTAGAGAAGGAGGCTCTTAGATTAGGTCTTTAAGGGCAGACATGGTTTAGCTATGTGGGAAGACTATGAGGAAGAACATTCTGGGCAAGGGTGATGGCCAAAGGAACAATGCAGAGGCAGGAGTGTCATGTTTTCTGAGGAACAAATAACAGGATCCCACGGTTCCTTAATTTTCCCCTATACAGTCCATTCCCAGAACACATGGCAAGTAGCATCCCCTGGAGCTGGGCAGTGCAGCAACCATGTCCACTCCTTATCCTGTGGGTGTGGTATAAAGACACAAATTTCTCCTACTACAAACCTTCTTTTAAAACTCTGCATTAAAGAACAAATCTCAGGACACCTGGGTGGCTCAGTCGGTTAAGCATCCAACTTTTTTTTTTAATGTTTATTTTTGAGAGAGAGAGAGACAGACAGAGACAGAGCATGAGCAGGGTAGGGGCAGAGAAAGACAGAGACACAGAATCTGAAGCAGATTCCAGGCTCCTAGCTGTCAGCACAGAGCCCAATGTGGTGATCGAACTCACAAACTGCGAGATCATGACCTGAGCTGAAGTCAGATGCTTAACTGACTGAGCCACCCAAGTACCCTGGTTAAGCATCCAACTCTTGATTTGGGGCTCAGGTCATGATTTCACAGTTCATGAGATCAAACCCCACTTCAGGCTCTATGCTGACAGCACGGAGTCTGCTTGGGATTCTCTCTCTGCCCCTCACTTACTCGCGCATGCTCTCTCTCTCTCTCTCTCTCAAAATAAATAAATAAACTTAAAAAAAAGAAGTCTCAATAGTGGAATATTCTATTGTTGATTCCATGGGAGGTCTTAGGCATAAAAACTCAAGGAGCTGTATATTATAATCTACTTATAAAACTCAGACTCTATGTCGAGGGAATTTACTTTCAAATACCTCAATATTCATAGTATAACATGAAGGTACCAGTTAAATCTCATCTATACCCTAGAAGAAATCAGAAAGCATGTCAAGTACCTCAAATATAAATCAACACTCCTGGGGCAGCTACCCAGTACATGAAGTATCTTAATCAGCAATAAGTACATAATACTTAAAATACCATTAGTAAAAAGCTATACAAGAAGGTCTGTATTAGCATGAAGATACCAGAAATAAATCTTTATTTATGAAGTGAGTGGTATTCAGGATAGGTGATTGTTTAGGAATACTGTCATCACCTGCAGCACCCAGATCAAGAGCCCTGTTCATCTGCATTTCTTCACCTCCCAGGGTGAGTCTCCTGTCACCTGGGCAGATGACAATACTGGTTGATCCTGCCATTCAGATGAATAGTATTGCCCTCATCTTGGAGTAAGCTGTCATGGAAGGTGTGAGTCGGAGACCCTAAGGCAAGAGTGGACTGCCCTGAGTACAAAATCAGTACTATAAAACAGCTATGTGAGTGTTTCATGCCTGCTTGCATCAGTATGTTTGGTGGAATTTGCCCTGAAATTTACTTCCCCTAAAATATAACACCTGATAGCAAGACCTCACCCATCTTAACAATCGGAGGCTACCAACATTTAAAAAGAACATTCTATTTGGTGAACAGCCAAATTGGTTTAGGTCAGAACATAACATATATATTTCCAAATACATATCATGAATCCATAAAAATACAGAAAAATTTTTAAAATTGAGCAAATAAGAACCTCCTACAAAATATCACAACTCAGTTAAAACCCCAGGTCATTGGAAAACGATGTGTGCACCCCTGTGTGTCTGTGGGGTGTGTGTGTGTGTGTGTGTGTGTGTGTGCGCACGCATGAGTGTGTTGCATCAGTGAATAAAAACCTAGAGGCAATTTGACAGTATATAATATATTTATTTATTTTACCTGATGGTAAGTTGGCCTTTCTTTTTTTAGCTGTATGAAGGAAATCAAGTATTGCTTTATAGTTTTCTAAAGTCAATTTCACTGTTGGTAATACTGTTCCAGAATTATATAGTGAGAACATATTAGGATCACATGATCGGAAACTGCAGGAGGAAAATATCATTAAGGAAAAAAAAAATATATATATATATATATAGATAGATAGATAGATAGATAGATAGATATAGATATATATATATAACTGAATTGAATCCATCAAATACAATCTACTTTAATTTTTAAAATATTTGTGAGTTAATGCTCCCAAATTTTGGATCATAACATATTCTGGCACTTAACCAAAGCCAAAAAGTTTCCCACTAAATTTTAAAGTTATACAATGTAACTTTGCTCTTAGGGATTTTAACATCAATATCTATTTCCCTGAAAGGGCCCTTGAAAATGGGAATGATGATCTATACTTACTCTAAGGGCTCTGAAATAATAATTTATGTTAAATTAACCTGATTTAAGCAAAACTCAATGAAGATGCTTACTATATAAAGCAATGCGTCCATGATCAATACTATTTTTTTAAAATAAGGTCTACACAGTAAACAATCCTCCACCATACACACATACATACATACAAAAATACATAGATTCATAAATACGGAGTATGTTTTCATGGTTTTAGTAAAATTGAATTTAGCACCAAGTTACCCTGATACAAATTTGGTCATTGTCTAATTGCTGTGCTATGAAGTACTCATACCCTCTCTCTCTGCCCCTCCCCCACTGGCTCACATGCTCTAGCTCTCTCTCTCTCTCTCTCTCAAAATAAATAAATAAACTTTAAAAAATACCCTTTTACAGTCTGTCACAGTCTTTCCTTCTTCCAATCCATTTGGTATGTTGCTGCCAGAGAAATTTTTTACCATAGCCCTGTGTAAAAATCCTTAATAATCTCCCACTGTATATAAATTGAAGTTCCAATTTAATAGACAGTTAAGACCCTCTATGATCTGGTACTGACCTATTTTTTAAATTGTTTCACACCACTCCCTTTAATTTGCTGTAGATTCTGGTCAGACCATTTGGGGTTCTCATCTTGTGTTTCCTACCTGGGCTCTGACTCACGTTCTTCCAACTACCTGGAATACTTCTTTCTCTGCCTGTCTTGCCTATCCATCATGAACCAGGCCAAGTGGCCCCGCTCCATGCAACCTTTCCTGTCAGTTTCAGGTCAGAGGAAAGCCTCTTTCCCAGGAACAAAGAAGTCTTTGTGCATACTTCACCTTCTACCATTATTTATAATTATTCGTTAACACTTGAGAGCTGCCCGACCAGACTCTACCTTGTGTGTCCTGTTCATCTTTGCATGCCCATTGCACCTGTCTCAGTACTTTGAATCTAATAAGTGCTTAGTAGTACTTTTTGAATGACAGACTCTACTCATCTTTTTAATTATGACATAGTATTACATATTATGTATGTATCTTCTATTTTTATCTTTGTTAACACATTAGCCAAAGACACTCAAGAACTCAACAGCATCTTGAATTAATAATAGGAAGTTTACATTTATGAGAAAATACTGTCTGTGCTTATAGAGGCTTAAAATACACTTCAAAATGAAACAGAGATTCGCCTAATAACACCTACTAATAGCTACAGTTATACACTTAATATTAAATTTCTCTTGAAATTATGCTTTCTCCTTTACTGAAAGCTATACTGACAAATATATACAAGCTACAGGCAGATTAGTACTTCCCAAGTGCTTATATCCAGAACTTGTTTAGGAAAGATCCTGAGACAAAAATTAAGTAATATACCAATGATCAGTAAAGAGAGAAGCACTCTGTCAACCTCTGTAAAGTATTATCTACATCGGAGTCCTGAACATACAAATAAAATTCATATTCATAAGATTAAAGGAGTTTCATTCACTGATATCATTCTATACCTGACCACTGTGTGTGAAGTGCCAAATTTCATCTTCGTTCGTTCCGCTAGTTTCGTTAAAAGCAGGGAGAAGTGTGCACTTGCCAGATACAGGTTCATCTGAGCTCTCCAGGGCATCTCCTCAAGAAATAGTTTATGGAACCTCTTCCTTTTCACAAAATTTAATATTATAGGATTCAAGTTCTCCACCAGGGATCGATAGGCAAGTTTTCTAACATCAGTTCTCTTATTTCTGCCAAGGGAGAAACATATTTTGAAATTACACAAACTTACAGATAAGAAATAACGAAGAATGATTCCAATTTGTACAAAATGCATCAAGAAGTCATTTGATTGCCCTTATGCAAATTTTTCTGGCTTAGCCATCATTTCCTTAGAGCTAATAATGTGAAATAGGGCAGCAGAGAAGGCACAAAGATAAACAAGAAGGATGAAGACACTACATATTGCCTTCCATTCTTTCTGATGCCGATGTCCTAAGCTCAAACCAAATGCCTTTTCTTTCCCATAACTGAAAGGCTACTGAGATTAGACAATTAAATTATAAGACAATGTTCATATTCATCCCCTAACTTCAATATTAAACAAGAACATCTCTGTATTGTTCCTTAAGGAAAAAAAAAAATGGAGCAAAATTTTTTCCACAACTAGACTACAGCAGAAATAAAATGTCAATCAACTATAAACAAAATGACTTCATAAATCCATATTCAATATGCTCTGGAAAAAACTAATATTTCAAAATGTAGCTAAGAGTTCATATCGTAAGCATAACATATATTCAATTTTTTTAAATTATTCCCATCAAAATCTCAAAGTAGTCCCACTATTTTTATAGTTGCATAATTGTTTATATGGCATGACTTCAAAGTACTTCTCTATCTGAACATAAGCGTTCAACAAAGGGAAACAAAAGTAATATAAAAACAGGGAGGGGACAAAACAGAAGAGATTCATAAATATGGAGAACAAACAGGGTTACTGGAGGGGTGGTGGGAGGGGGGATGGGCTAAATGGGTAAGGGGGACTAAGGAATCTACTCCTGAAATCATTGTTGCACTATATGCTAACTAATTTGGATGTAAATTTTTAAAAATTAAAAAATAAAATTAAATATATTTTAATGTTTATTCATTTTTGAGAGAGAGAGTGAGAGAGAGAGAGCAAGTGGGGTGGGAGCAGAGAAAGAGGGAGACACAGAATCTGAAGCAAGCTCCAG